CCGCTCGTCGACCATCGAACCTCCCGCTCGTCGACCATCGAACCTCCCGCTCGTCGACCATCGAACCTCCCGCTCGTCGACCATCGAACCTCCCGAGGACGAAGAGTACAAGTACGAGATCAAGTGCCACCAGACCCTCTCGACGACAACTGCCGGCCGCTGTTCCACGTCGATCTCCTCCCATATATTGAAACCAATCTGGACGCGCTCGCCCACCTGCTGCGGCCATGGACTACATAACAACACAGTACTGCATTTGGTCCGGTCAAGGGAATGTCTCAAATCTTCATTAGGTCCCTCTCCTCTGTCACTACAAGTGTGTTCGTCTGTCGTGTTGCGGCCCAACCTAGCCTAACCGCCAATGGGCCACGTGGTCTACTTCACATAGCGCTTGCGCCAAACACGCTGATACCTCTGAGGGAGGATATGCTGCGATGTACAGTGACAAGACGAGAGAGCCTCTCATTCTACCTTGGAGGGAAAGCTCCTTCTTGTGCCTGGCGGCCCTCTTGCGCTTGGCGGGTGGAGCCGGGCACTCCCTGTTGCCGTCGCTCTCTGTGCGCCTGGCAGCCGGAGCGGGACACTTTCCGTCGCTGTCGCCCTCCGTGCACTTACCGGCTGGGGCGGGGCACACCCCCTGGCCGTCGCTCTTCGTGCGCTTGGCGGCTGGCGCTGTGTAGTCGCCGTCCATGTCGCCGTCCCTCCTGCGCTTTCGTCCCGCAACATCTGCCGCCGACTGTCCTAACAGGGGCTTTTCCACGCCAGGTCGGAGTAGCTCCTCAGAGTCATGGGTGCCTTGCATCTCTCCTGCCGGCATTGCCGAAGCCAGGCGCGCGGCGCTCTCTAATTGCTCTCTGGGCCGGTCGCTGTGCTGGGTGGCGAAATGTCTCCGGAGACCAGGCCCTGGGGTGCAGAGATGTCCGCAGAGAGGGCACGATGCCACGTGAGGAAGAGTCCAATTGTGAACGTCCCAAGCGTGCATCAGCCATTCCCAGATGCTCATCGGCTTGGCGTCAACGTGGCCTTCACGAGTGCAGGCGCCACAGGCGACGTGAAGGTTCTTACGATACCGAGGAATCTCAGTCCGGTTCATGTGGGCGAGGAGAGTGCTAATAGACGCCATGGGTGCCTCGCATAGAAGGCAGGCCAACGGCGAGTTTGACGGGCAGCCCCGGTAGCTGGCACCTCGATTGAATCTTGGTGTATGGATTAGGCCATGGGTATGCTCGAGGTGATTGCACCACTGCGCTGGACCGTGGACGACAACCTCTGCCGCCCCGGCGCGCCTGCACCGGGGACAAGCGAAAGGGTTGTCAAATGTACCGTCGACAAGATGGGTGTCTTGGAAGTGCCTTGTAAGGCCAGAGCGTGTTGTAAACCCTCTGAAGCAGGCGAAACAGCAGGAATTTCCTCGCGATTCAGAGGGTGCCGCTGCCTCCGAAGCCCGCTGACGAGCTGTAGTTACGGTAAACGACAGGTATAGCAGTTGCGCATCGACATACTGCTCACTTGCGCTTGTGTCGTTCGGTGGCAATTCGCCCTCGTCCCGCGGTCTGCACCGCCATAAACAGGCGGCCACCGGAGCCGCTATACCCGGCCCCCCCATGCCGGGCGTTGGGGTCGGCTCAAGACCTTGGAGACGCAATCGGTCCGCCTCCTTGAAGTAGGCCTGTCGATATTGTTCGAGCTGCAGCCTTTTGCAAGTCTCGAGGACGCTGCCGATTTGGCCGCGAAGCCTGCTCTTCTCGAGCTTGTTGGTTGTATGCTGGATCTCGTCGCGGAGCTTGGCGATATCCTTTCGTTCCCGGAACTTCGCAATCTGCGCTTCCGACACCTTGATTGGGGCGCCCTCGTCCCGTGTAAGGGTCATATTGCGGAGGTCGTTGAAGAGTGTCTCATCCCGGCGCACCGCTTTCGGCCCAAACGCTATTGCGGCGAGATTGGCTCTGACGACAGCTGTCTGGTAGTCATTTTCAAAAACATCTCCTGAGTGGCCCATGATGTAGTTCCGTAGGGCACTTGATAGACTGTCTACAAAAATCAAGTGTCAATTGACGTCCAGCGGCGGTAATTGTCTGGAAGCAACGTACCATCCATTCGGGCTCCAGCGCCAACGCGAAGAGAATAAGGGCGGATATCTTTCCGGCTGCCTATGACATAGAGGCACCGCCGCCAAATCGCCCAGAAATCTGCGTATTTCAGTGGGAAAAGAGGCTCGTTGAGGAATTTCTCCTTCCAGGGGATGTCGATGCGGCCGGTTTTGCCGAGACGTGGACGCTGTAGAAGATCGCTGAGGGATTGTAGCTGACATCCAAATCTAAAGCGTCCATCTGTATCGCCCGGGTGATCACGAGGCTTGCCGAATCGAGGAGGGGAAACGGCACGAGAGTGGTAGAGTGGGCGACGCTATTGACAGGCGATAGGAGATACACCTCGTCAGTCCTTGGCCTCCCATCTGCTATCGGATGCAGCTACTCACGATGTGTTCTTCCTGTATTTGACGGTCTTCTCGGCCTCCTTAATCTTGTTCCGATCAATCCTGTATGTGACAATGGGCTTCACCCTGGTCGGATCATCGGGATCGCGCACGATGGAGATGGTGAACTGCTTGCACAGGGTATTTTCAAGGCAGCCTGGACGGAAACCGCCGGTACCCAGTTGGAGGACCGCGTGATGGACCGACATCCTCGTAAGTGGTGTGGCGGGTATATCATCAGCACGCTGGTATAGCGCTGTAAGAATGACGATAATGTCTGCTGCTGTTGCCTCGACCTTCTCGTACGACGAGCCCATCTCCAACCCGAGTGTTGGGGTCAGGTTCAGGGGAATCCACTAGCCAGGCCCTAGTCAGTAAAGCATACCAATAGTAGAAGCGTAGAATGGGAAGAGGAGAAGCGTAGAGGAAGTATCCTCAATGACATGCAAGGTAATCCAAGTTCTGTACAAGGGGAGGGAAGTGATAGAGTCGTTTCACCCGCACATACCTTGACAACTGAATAGGCGGGTCCCTCGCGTTTCTCGCCTTCTTGCTCCCACTTCAGTACAAGCCGGCTGGCCTTCTGGGCTTGATCATTCCTTCGCAGCGCGGCCCGCTCAACACGGAGGACGTTGAAATCGGCCGCTGCGACGAGCCTCCGCCAAATCTCAATGACGCTATAAGCGGAGTTGACCGTCCGGACCATAGCGCGCTCCTCAGGTCCTAGCACGACACGTTCCTTGTAGGAGCTTTCCACATATTCGTGTAGAAACGTCTGGACCGGTGCTAGAACGTTTGGGTTTGATGGATCCCGGGCGAAGTCCACCCAGAAACGGCAGGAGTCGACACCACCACAGCTTCATTTAGTTAGCATCAGTTTTAGGGCTCGATGGTGAGCCTCATACATCCCGGGAGCGCCATACCTGTCGATTGCACCTTCTTTCTTTCTAGTGAGTTCGCAGAAACTTCAAGAAATGATGATGTCAGTAACACATCAGGACATCTGTCCCAGGCTTTATGTCGAGATTTTTTTGGGTTAAAGAAGCCTGGGAAGGAGGGGAAGAAGACATACTCGGTCCAGGCTACCCATATTCTATCGCGCTCCGCCTTCGTGTCCTGAGTAACGAAAGGCTTCGCATTATCCTTCTCCTCAATGGCACTGACCGTGTAAGCCTGGAGGCGCGCATTAACGCTTTCCTGGTCTACCCCGGAGAAGCGCGACTGTCGTTGCACCGTCATGGTGAGTCGATATGTGTGTTAGGAGTAAGAAGACGACGAAAAGGTGATGGGGAAGGGAGTTCTGCGGTTTGGGGGGGGAAGGGGGGGAGGGAGGCCAGGACAGCATGAGCGAGCCAGGCCAACAAGGCCAGCAAAGCCAGCACCGAGGCTCGAGGGTCGGGCGCAGTTGGTTCGCGTCCCCGAACCGGGAACGGGATCCTGGCGCAAAACATGCATCGCCATCGCGAATGCGCGGGGCCCGAGCTGAGGGGCTTAATGGGGTGTGAACGAAGTAGAATGGGCGACGGCTTCCGGCCTCCGTCGCCCGGCGCCGTTTGCAGTCGTTACGGAGCCGGCGCCACTCCGGGAACGCGAACGGGTTCTCGGCCGGCAAAACTTCGAGCGAGGCGTTGGCTCGTGCTTGCTGAAGTCATCAATTGCAGTTGTGCGAAAGGCAAGATTTTGCAGCTGTACATCCGTACGGATACTTCAGCAAGTCTTAGTTCCAAGCTTCATCACTAGCCATCTGACGGCACTTGGCCAGTGGCAACAGCAACAACCCAACTGACCTTCCATCCCTCACCTCCATACTTCTTCTCCAGAAACTCCTTGACCAACCCGCGCACCTCCTCCTTCGGGTGGGATTTCCTCAACTCCTCCGACCAACACGTGTTCAGGATCCAGTCCATCGCCATGCCAAAGCCCGACATGAAGAAATTGGCGCTGGCAACTTGACTCGTAAAGGCGAAGACGTCCACCTCGACATCCTGCAGGCCCTTGGCCACAAGGGTCCGGTAAATCCAGTTCACATCCGACCACTGACCCCATGCTGTAGTCTGCAGCGGCATCTCAAAGGGCGCCTCGAACGGGAATGACTTGAAGGCTTCTCTCACTTCATGGAACCAGCCAGGCTCTCTGTGCATCGTGGTGAAACCGAGGACGCCGCCGGGCTTCAAAATGCGGATTGATTCTGTCCTCAGTCAGTCATCGCTCTCCCATCGAATGGGGATTGGTTCCATCTTACCATTCAACGCGGCTTCCGAGTCGGGAACGACGTGGTAGCCGATGTTCGTCGCGACATGGGTAAAAGAAGCGTCGGCAAGGCCAGTGTTCTGGCTATCCGTTAGCTGACAGGACAAAGCGAGAGTTGGCAGATATTATGGACTGCCTCACCTGCGCATCAACCTTGACCGCTTCGGTATTCACCCACCCTTCGCTCTCAATCCTCTTCTTTACCAGCTCAACCATGGGCTCAGAAAAGTCTCCGCAGAGGATGCTGCTCTGCTTCAAGACCTCTGGCTTGATAATCTGCTGCAGCATGGGCGCCACAACGCCCGCACCACAAGCATTCTCCAGTAGCTTGATAGGGGTGCTGGTATTCTTATCGAAGCCCATCTGGGTCAGCATCCGCAATGCCATGGGCGCGCTGACGTTGCGAGCATTCTCGAGGAGCATCTCCTCAAATGCACCGCCTTGCGCGGCTTTGGCATTTTGGTAGAACTTCTGGAGCTCTTCGCGGACGGCGGCGGTACCCATCATGGGCAATACGGGTGTTTTGCGTAGGGTGATGAACAACGCAATTTGTTATGGTCGTTGTGGAAGAGGCGAAACGTTTGGCCTTGCGGGATATGGTGAGAGTTTATAGACCCATGGTATCCGGTAGTTATGTCCGAGAAGTTTCCGTTTGTGGCTCTTGCATAACTACCTATGGTGAGGTACGGAGTAATTCGAAGGTCTCGCATAATCTTCATGATGTGACATCTCGGAAGGGGAGCTCGCCTATCACATTGGTGCAGTTAGGGATTCTTGCTGGAAAAGCCCCCGAAAAGTATCCGGCCCCATTCCTCCAGGGGCCCATCACTGTAAGAGCCACAAAGTTACGTTCAAGTTTCAGTCGACATCGGAGATTTAGAAAGAAAAGACTGAATCCCTCGGATTCCATCGAGCCTTCACTGAGACGAGATGCCCTTGGACAAATGTAGGTCCCGGGAAGTCCGAGGTCAGCACTCAGGATTGAACTAAAGGCCCACCATATTAGCTCCATAAAAGCAGAGATGTCGGACTGAATCCTTCAGAGAACCTCAGCCCTTCAGCTACCAAATTTCCCGTCAAAGCTTGCTCATCTTTGACCACAGATATTTACCCCCAGCTGCAACACCAGCAGCACCAACCCCAACTCCCTGGACAACGCCATTCACTACCGCTGCCCCGGCTCCTCCCGCGCCAGCACTTTGCAGCGTGGAAAAGGTGCTTCCGGCGGCCACATTTCCGATCGTGCTCTGGGCAGCTGCAGCTACTGAGCCTGTGATGGCGGCAACCGATCGTCAACAATTCAGTATTGCCCAGTATTGCCCAGTATTATATGCAGAGAATTTCTAGTATTTAGACATCGACAAACCTGCAACGATGCCTTGGGCGGTAAATCCCGCTGCGTTCAGCGCTGGGATTGCAATAACCCCTAGGACGACAACAACTGCTGCTCCAGCTATTATGATGGTTGCTGTGATGGGGTGGTTCTTTGCGAGCTTGAGGCCCTGTTCGAGGTGGTGGATGGTCAGTCATAAAACTCCTGAGTCAAAGGTACGGCGGAGATGATGTGCGCCCGGTTACTGCCTTATTCGGACACCGCTAGGTAGCCTCTAGGGACACATGGGAAAGGCGATATAGAGATATGGGAATTGATCGGAACGTACCCTTTCGGCAGCTTCCTTGGCTACATTGGCTGCACCTTTGGCAGCGTCGGCTGTGATTCCCACGGCGGCCGAAGCTGCTGCGGGATTGCCAATGCCGGCGGCCAGTGAAGCGGAAGCGGTCGCGGCCGTTTGCAATGCGATCGAGCCCGCTTCGACCATTTTCTTTGCTGCTTTATCCATTTTGTTATGAGTTCTGGAAGTAAGAGAGAGGAAGACTGTGATCAAACGTAAAGATGCTAAACGATGTGATTGTTCGATGAATCATGAATCGTGGCTGCCTATCATCGATGGCTGGGAGTATCTGGGTTGCGGCAACGAAGCAGCAAGACGGGAGACTGCTCGAGGGTTTGAAGTTTGCCGCAGATGTTGCCTTCGTTGGGCTCACGGCAGGCTGTGCTTGGGGTCGCACAGAAGGCCGCCGTGGGTTATTACATTAGGTCACCGTGTGGCCGTTGGTTGTATTCGATGAGTTCGATTGGACGACCAATCTCATGGAACAGTTCGTTGGCAAGTCCTGACTCGGGTTGTCACTATGGTACATGATTGGCAATGTGGAAAGTTTCGGTAAGCTGAAGCCGTTTTGGCCCTTTGGGAATTGCCTCGTGAATCATTCCGCCATCTACCGTGGAACCAACGTGAGCTCGTGTACTTAAGGTATGACATGATGGATAAGATGAATTGCCACCACACTGGCAGCAAATGCAGTTGTATTTCGTATGGGAATACCAATCTGATTGCTGTAGCCGCCCTACCGTATTTCCCGGGCGTTCAGGACTAGGCTACAAGGTTGAAGAGGTGGAGGATGTGAAGTGGAAAGACTTCCAAGTGTCTTCAGGAGGCGGTCAAAGTAGGCGTTAACGATGGCACCCGTATTCCAAACTCAACAAGGGGTCCAAGGTTATCAACTGAAGGAAGCCTTTGACCTCTGTTGAGTTTGTGTCTGGGTGCAGGCATTGACGCCTACTCTAAGCGCCGGCTAAAACACTTGGAAGTCTCCCCACTTCACATGTACTCAACTTCCTCCATTCATGCTTCGTCCCGTGCTCAGGGAATTCCAGTCGAGTTCCTCGCATTTGCCAAAAAACATCCCACAATGCCACCAAGACCGACGCCCTTTGCAAACGCAGCAGCCGTCCGAGCTGCTCCTTTTCCGGCGCTGGCGCTCTGCAACCAGGAAAACACACTCCCGTTGGGGACATTCCCCACCCAGCTTTGAACGGTGGCGGCCCATGAGCCTATTTAAATGTGTTATCTGTCAGGCACAACTCAAGTATCCGTGATTTGTGGATGATTTAATGATCAACAATCAGGGACGGTTACGAACCCCCTATGACACCTTCGGGGCCAAATCCGATTACACCCAGCACGGTCCCTGACGCGAATGCAACGAGTGTCCCAGCTGCCGTGTAAACCACGGCGCAGGTGTTGTTGGCCACGAATTCTTGCACCACTCCTAGCTGTTTATGTTCTCAATTGTCAGCGTGCCTTCTTTGAGTTAAAGTGCGTGGTACAATATGTCAGTCTCCCGCAAATGTTTCAACAGGTAGACTAGTGTTGCCAACGTCCGCACAAAGATACAGGTATGTCATCTCAGGACACGTACTCCCATTGTTGCTTAGCTGATGTGATTAATACCTATTGACTGCTGGTCGGGAATCGGGATCGCCAATTTAACAAGTATCGCGTTGAGGACTGCGTCGCTCACTGATTGATGGTGGATACTAGCACCACCAAATAACCAGATATCTGTACGATAGTTGACCCAGTTGGCTTAGGGGGTCTTACAGAGTGAAAGAGAAGCAGATGCAACGCCTCACGAACCAAGGAACTCGAAATTGATATAGCCTGCCAGCCATCGGCGGGACGGCAGATGCTCCGGAGTAAGAAAGTGCGCTAAGTGATGTCAGAAACCACCGTCGTCTGCGTGATCAGTTGCCCTGGTCCTCTTCACGACTGGAGAAGCTGATCGGACGATTTGTGCGATGGGTCATTTGGAACGACCTGGCCAACACATCGAGACTATACTTGAAGGCATGTCGGGACGATCTAGACCTCACCATGAAGCGGGGAAAGGGCGCTTTTCAGTTCCTAGGTCTGGATCTTCGCGCCACAGATCTTTTCAGAGTTTAACGGATATAACCTTGAAGAGCACTTTGTTAGGCGTAGTTCCTTGCTTCTACCAGTGTGCAGGAGCACACATTAGACTTGGTCAGAAGCGTTGACCAACAGACAGAGCCGTCAGAGCGTTTCGAACCACGTTGTCCGCGTCCCAGTACCCCCGCATCCCCAGCCGTCAAGTCTGCCAATTGTGCCACCCGGGTGCGTAGCCGAGCTGAAGCTGCATCTTTTCCGGGACCCGGATGAAGACCCCTGGATCGCTGCAGGGCCCTCTCTGGTTTCACAGCTGGCGCCATGACCTCCGGCAGGTAATTTTATTGACGTTATCTGACACCAAGTTGGTTGGTGGCGTCGGGGTAATCTCGAAATCCCCGGTAGCTTCAAAGTTGGCGCGTGTCTGAGCGAGTTCTTCCTTTTCTTCAATTGCTCATTTTACCTCCGATGACATTATCGGCGGTAACCATGATCATATTCTCTCCTGATAATAGAACCACTGCTGCTAGTTCACATCTTCCGACTTGAGCATGAGCGTGATGCGATCCGAGTATCCTAACAACCTCGACTAAGCGACACCATCAAGGCGTTGTCAAAGCTCCGCGCGCAACTTTTGAAACCTCATCTTTCATTACCTGAACCTGTTTCAAGATGGTATGTCAAGCTACGCTGGACGGAACCTCCATAGCGCGCTCTCAACATCGCCGCGCCCTGAGCTCCCCTGAACTGGAACCTCCCTGACACGACAACGAGTGTTCACCATGCTAAGATGACTGGACAGGAATCTAGCTCCGTCGCCCTCGAGGGAAACCGATACCACGCATCATGGGAGCCCAAGCAAGCGTTGGCACGCGCCGAAGGCGTGATCGCTACTGAGCTCGCCGCACGGGATACTGTCGACAACGGTGTGAGGATGTTTGTCATTATCGGGGTGCCCATCCTCGGCGCCGCCGTCATCTCTTTCTTTGTCGGGTGTTGTATTGCGCACGTCAGGATCAAACGGCAAGAGTACGGCAGTAAAGACGTGGAGATGGGAAGGAGATAATGGCAGTGTACGATTGCGAGTAATTAGGACTAAAGGGCTCTCTGTCTTGATAAGCGTTTGGACTGTACTTGGGCAGGGCCGAGTTTGCGCGTTGTTGAGCCGGTGTTGGAGGAAGCAACATGACCATTCATTGCAAGACCTCCAAACCCCAAAGATTCAACCCAAAAACCAATCTCCCTCAGAAAGCCATAGCCGCCAAGTTCCATCGATATTAACTTGAGAACCAACAGTCCCCCGACCACCCCTGATGGGCCTCAAGGCAAATTAGCCGACATTGGACCTGCACTACTCGGCTGCAGTGTATCAAGACCGGGAATGTGAATCGACAGCTTTCACCGAGGGGCATAACAATACCAGGCCTTGGGGAAAAGCACATCATCTGTTGGTTACACTTGGCCGGAAAATACCACAAGGCACCCGCGGGATGTGGCTGGGCACTATGGGCATAACCTCGAACTTAAACCTGAAATACCTTACCACGGCCCGCTTCAGTAGCTGAACATGAGCACAGCTTGCCAGGGCTTTCCTGACGCTTCCATCTCAGCTTAATATCAAGACAAAAGTGATGTTCAAACTCCATGGGAGAGGGCCACACGAGACTTCGTGGAGTCACAGGGAGGAAACACTCAAGAAACCGGTCATTGGGACCAACAAAGAGCTTGTGTGGCTCCTCATTTCTCGGGTTCTCTTCGTCCCTCTCATCGCCCTAGACGGGTTTTACTTTGTCGGGACTTGGGTTGATCGGTACTCAAAAGGGCGTCAGGCAAAACAAGAGTCTAGTCAGGCAAAACTGCGAAACCATATTGGAGCAGCGGGGACGGAGTTGGAGAGAGTAACCCCAGGGCCGATCTACGCTTGATGGAGAGGGTTTCTCCCCTGCAGTGTCTGATAGAAACGGGGCAAGTGAGGGTGGACGAAGCTCTGAACAGTAAACCAGCGAGAGTACAAGAGATAAGCTCCGTGGTCACCATAGGCTTTGTGATGTTCACGTTCATTGGTAGAGCGCTGGTGCCGTAAGAAGAGAAGCTGGCGCCTTATTATCAGCAAGTCAAAATTTAGCAAGAGACGAGGAAATAGATGCCGGTCACACCCAGAGGGCGTCCAGGGTTTGCTATCAGCAAACAACCTCCCGAGTTAGGTAGCTGGGGCTGTGAGCGAAGGCTTTTCCTACCAACCCACCAGAACGAGAACCTCGTTAATCTGAAGTCGACAAGTTGCATGTGATCTGCACTCGTAGTGGAAGTTGTGGTCGATTGAAATTCGGGTGACACGGTTCAGCTCCGCAGCTCGAGGACGAAGTGTACTTCCAACTGCTACCTGTAAGGAGTAAGGCGATTGGTACTGTAGTTGACGGACCGGCTTGTGTCGGGCGCGCCACCCGGAGAAAGTGCCCAAAGGAGCGCCGGGGAAAGGGGGCCTCCCCAAACCGGAACGCCTCCACGTTGGAATGTGGCATGTGGCAGACAAGTGCAGCCTGGAAGCGCATTTCTTGAGACAAACCGACAGGCTTTAAATACCATGGGCCGGCCTGGAGAGAGCTTCATCCTTCTGACCCTTTGACTAGTTCCCAAAGAGCACATCTCGTCTTCCAGGCGCTCGCCCTTCAACATCGACTCAGTGACAATCATGAATTTGGACAGCTACGCCCGGCTCAATCCTTACTTTGAAGACGAAAAGCGTGACAAACAAAGGGAACCAGGAGGAGACCGCACGGCGGTGTTGATTGCGTGCATTATCTTGATCATGGTTATTATTGGTGCATGGACGTGGGGCCGGAGTGTGCCGTCGTGATGCGGTAAGCAGATGTATCCCCGCTGCAAACTCTAGCTAACGCAGAGTTCGAAAAAAGAAAAAGAAAGGTTGCGATAGAGCTCCGAATCCGGTTGAGGGCAATCCTGGTTTCGAATAAAGGTGATGATACCCGGCAGCTTGATGATTGAAGTTTGCAATTCGGGAACAATGGGAACTCTGGGCAGCGTCTTGGAAGAGTGGCAGGGAGAATGCGGGGCGATGGAGAATTTAGGAACCGGGAGCAGTGCCAAGCAAGTTAGCGACTGACCGCCTCTGGCAGAATGAGAAGCCCCACTAAAAATTCTCGACCTTGCGAACGCTCCATTGTGCGCTTCGCCATATTCTTCGATCGTGACATTCGTGATGCCCTAGCCCAAGTCCAGAATGCCGAAGAACAAGCCCGCGGCGCGCGATAGCGCTTCGTCTTCACGAATCACCGACTCTCGATTTGCCAGCTTTGAGATAGACCCAAGATACCAGCTGCCGTCCAAGAAGAACGTCAAGACAAAGCTCGATAAGCGCTTCTCCCGCGTGCTCAAGGATGCCGACTTTGTCGGCACTGCGAAGGTCGACCGCTATGGCCGGAAGTTAAAGACAGACACCAAGAAGAAGGCTCTACAACGGTTGTACGAAGACGAAGAAGAAGACGGCGAAGACCTCCACCATGTGGAGGAGGATGCCGAGGTCGAAGACGACGACATTGTCCGTCGCGAACTAGATAAGGCCGACGCCGAGTACGATCCGGCCCGTGGTGGTGGTTTCTCCTCGTCAGAGTCCGGCTCAGATTCAGATGGTGAGTCCGAGTCCGAAGAGGAGGCCGATGAAGACGACGGAGTCGAGGAGTCGCGACCCGGCATCCGACTGCGCAGGGAGAAACAGGAGGTTGAGGTGGGCGAGATTACGAACCGATTTGCCGTTGTCAACATGGATTGGGACCACATCAAGTCCATCGATCTGATGGCCTTGTTCTCGAGCTTTGTGCCCGCCGGCGGCCGCATTGAGAAGGTATCCATATACCCGAGCGAGTTTGGGAAGTCGAGGATGCAGCGCGAGGAAGTGGAAGGTCCGCCTAGGGAGATTTTCAGGAAGGGCAAGGAATCGGACAACTCGGACAATAAGGACGAGGAGGACGACGAGGATTCCTCTGCATCAGAAAGCGAAGATGATGAGGATGCCACCGAGGACTCGGACGAGGAAGTGAAAAAGGAGCTGCTCCAAGAGGGCAATGACCAAGATTTTGACAGCGACGCGCTCCGCGCATACCAGATGGACCGGCTACGATACTACTACGCGGTGGTGGTTTGTTCGGATAAGAACACGGCGCACAAGATCTACGATGCAACGGACGGCAGTGAATACTTGTCATCCTCCAACTTCCTCGACCTGCGCTTTATCCCCGATGACGTAACCTTCGACGACGAGCCCAGAGACGAGTGCGACAGCGTGCCCTCTGGATACAAACCAATTGAATTCGTCACCGACGCTTTGCAGCATTCGAAGGTGAAGCTCACATGGGACTTGCACCCGGAGGAGGTCTCGAGGAAGGAAACAATCAAGAAGGCGTTTACAGGAAGCCGGGCAGACATCGCAGAGAATGATTTGCGGGCGTATTTGGCGAGTGACAGCGAGAGCGACGTGGAAGACCGGGCGGAAGCTCCCGCAGGAGACGAGAACGGCGAAGAGGCGCCGCTCAGCAAAAAGGAGCTCGCCAGGCGCAAGATGCGAGCGGCGCTTGGCCTCAGCGATGAACCGGCCCCCAAGCCGTCAAAATTAGCGCCTGTCGGGGAAATGCAGATTACATTCACCCCTGCCCTGTCTGGGAAGCCGGAGAAGGAAGAGGGTGAAGAAACCACGATCGAAAAGTACAAGCGCAAAGAGAAGGAGCGGAAAGAACGGAAGCGAATCAAGGCACTCGCCAAGAGGGAAGGTCTTGATGCTGAGGCGGTCGAGCAGGAACCTACCAAGGGGACTGCTGTGGAGGTTGCTGAGGACCTCGGTTTCGACGACCCATTCTTCACGTCCGAACCAGTTCAGCCTTCCAAATCAGCGATGCGCAAGGAGGAGAGGCTCAAGAAGCGTGCCGCCAGAGAACGGGAGGAAGCCGAGAATGCTGCTCAGAAAGCACAGCTTGAACTCCTCATGGCTGACGAAAATGGAGGTGGCGAACACCTCGACCACTTTGACATGAAAGAGATTGTCCGGGCAGAGAAGCAAAAAGGGAAGAAGAAGAAGGGCAAGAAGGGTACCGTGGAACAGGGCGGCCTGCAAGAGGACTTCCACATGGACGTCGAAGATTCTCGGTTCAAGGCCGTGTTTGAGAACCACGAGTTCGCCATCGACCCGTCGAACCCCAAGTACAAGGCAACGCAGGGCATGAAGAAGCTGCTGGAGGAGGGCAGGAAGAAGCGGAAGGGCGCGCCGGAAGAGCAGAGCCAAAGGAGCTCCAAGAAGGCCAAAGAAGATATCGGAGAGCTCAGCAGTCTGGTAGACGCTGTGAAGAAGAAGACCAAAGCGAAGAGGTAGCGCCAGTTTATACGGCTATTGACTTTCACATCACCTAACTACCATGATGGATTCCCTGCCTGGTATGCTCTCGTCCGTTTGCTCGAGTGATCCACATGAAGGTATGCATTGACCAACAATGTCTCCAAACTTCAGACAATTCCCAAAGCGGTCAAGCGTTTAAGGGGCAGCCCTGTCGACTCGCCCACACAAAAACTATCTCCACTTGGCGCATTGTTTCCGTTCCCATCCCAAAACATCGCAAGATGTCGCGTGCTACGCTCGCCTAGGAATTGAGCACAGGAAAACGACTGCCCGGGCGGGTACCGCTGGGCTGCAACATTCCCGATCGTCGTTGAGGCTCTCGCTCAACATGTATTCTGCTGTAAGTCATTCACCATTCATCCCTTTCGCTCGTGCGCGCAAACCCAGCGTCGCCATTCCATGATGAGACTTTCAACTACTTCCATGGCTATGAAGTACTTCGCACATGATTAACAATATCCACTATTTACTCTGACCTTGGCTCCTTACCGTACACTTCGGCGAACTCATCATTAGTTTAGACAGATAATTGCTAACTGTCGAAGCGATTCAGGACAGGGTCATCAACAACCAATGCGGCGTCGTTCTCGGCAAGGCCGCAAGCCATAGACTGCGGTGCCACGATTTATGATTGACGGCAACCGTGGACATTTCCGACAGAGTGTCCTGGTAGTGTAGCTGGGGTCCTGTTTCTCGATGTGGCTATTGGACCTGCAAAGGCTAAGGTAATCAACACCCCGCGCTCCAGACAATCCTCATGCTGCAGAAGCATCAGTGGCTTCCAGTACCTTGAGCCTTGGAAGTGTTCCAAGGAACCTGAAAGGACGAGCACCTCCCAAGTGGCGATGCGTCGTCATCAGGAAATCTGAGAAATACACCTGCAGTCGGCTCGGAATGTTATCCTCTCATCCTCCACGCCTGGCCCCGTAGCCATCTCTAGCACGTCTTGGTCAAAGCCGACCTGAACGCCTGACGCAGTGGCAGCCGCATGTACAGTCGCCATCATCACCAGCGGTAGTTTTCGCAACGAACACCCTGTGCGTGGCCCTGTGGAAGAGCCTTGAAGTCCTAGGCAGGGTTAGCTGTACTTGGTTCTTGGCACTTTGTCACCTACGACCCCTACGAGGGAGAAAAATTCGACGCGGACTCGTTTCCCTGTACGTCCGTTGAACATGCGTCAGGCCATGCATGGCAAACGAACTCCTGACACTACCAACGACCTAGAGCCGAAGATACAGATTGCACCCGATATTCTGGGAACAATGACGTGAGATCTTCGCTTTCTTTCTTTGTCGGCTCGAATAGGACATCAAAGGGACTGGTTCGACCGAAGTGCCGGCCTGTAACAACCGCCGGCTCACCGTAGCAAGCTAATGGGCCGACGCTGTTTGCGTATGTGGCGCACGCGGCGGGCCGAGTTCTAAATCAGCTCAGCGGGCGAACGTTTCGCAGGAGGCAAACACAAAGACAATGGTACAAGTCTTGTTTGACCTACCAGCCCAGTCTCTTGTTCTTGAAAACTCTCGCAAACCTGCCTAGAACCGGAACAGCAACTGGCGCCCGATCGATTCGCAAACCGTTGAATACTGCGCTCTATGTTCAGCATGCTGTCACCTATCACTCTCTCCCTGGCGGCCTCGAGCCTCGGCGGAGCCGCAAGTCACACCATCCCCGTATCGGCTGGCAAGAACGGCTTGACCTCTGAGCCCAACGAAATCCACGCGGCAGAGGGCATGTGATCGAGTTCCGCTCCTGGCCGCGCAACCACAGCGTTGTGGCCGGCAACTTCCACAACGCCTGCCGCCCGGCCGAAAACAACGGCTTCTTCTCGGACTTCTTCCCGACCCAAAATGGCACCGTCAATGTACGTAGCACCCCTTGGTTCTCCTCTGCTCATCTCAGCAAGAAGCTAAACACCTCCCTCCCCCGGGGACCCAGTCCCAAGTCTTCCGCATCACAATCAATCACACCAACCCCATTCCCATCCACTGCTCGCAAAACACGGGCCAGCACTGCAAGAACGAGGCGGCCACTAGCACTACCTGCAGTGGCTCGGCGTCGCCGACAACGACAACGACAACGACAGAGACCGAGACTGCTAGCAGCAAAGAGACGCAGACCTAAACTGAGACTGAGACTGCGACCACGACTACTACCACGAGTGGAACGAATCAGTCAGGCAGCAGTGCGACGACCCCGGCTACGAGCACGCCGACTGCTGCGGCTGCGGGACTGGCAGTGCCGCTTGTGGGGTTGATGGCGTTTGCCGTGGGAGCGTTCTTTGTGTGATCAGATTCAGGCGTGCTGCTTGCGGACGTTGCTTTGCTTTGGTTGCCTTTGCCGGCGAATGATGTCAAAACCGTGAAGGGGCTTTTAATGGAGTTGGAGTAAGGTACATATTTTATTCCATGTTTGGCCTAACAGGGGTACGTACCTAATATGGAATCTGTTTCAATGTTTCCCCCTTTCTTACTAGAAGTACACGTACCAGTTCCGTCTTGGAATAGCCTGGGCACACAATGATTTATCTCACTCTCCTGGTCTACAACTAAGCGCTCGCTCGTGGCCCGCAGAGTACCTAGGTATGGACTGGAAACACCACCTGTAAGCAACGACCTGCAGGAACATTTGCACCCAGTGAAATGTTGGAATCCCCCTGGTAATGTTAGTGGTCAGCTTTTGCTCAGCGGCGAGAGCGGCTTACTGTGTAAAAATGATAGGGCACCATTATCTCGCAGTTCGTACTGTGTAAGCAATGGATCCATTGCTTCCCCGCCTTCATCATGAATACCCACGCCGTTCGTGATGTTCGTCCATCCAAGTCAATGAACCATTGTGGGCTGGCAAGCCGACAGCCCGTTGAAGAACATCGTTTCAACGATTTCACTTCGGTCCCCAACCTCGGAGCTTCCCACAGTCTTTGCACCAATGCCACTTGACGAAATCCCTAACCTTACATTGAAAGGCCCCCCGGCGACAAGCAATGGTGACTCGGGAGTTGAAAGGAGCCCTCAGATCACCGGGGAAGCAACTCTGCTTATGGAACTCGTGGCCGAACTCCGAGCACTGAACGAGAACCTTGGGCAATTCAGGCACTTTAAGAATCTTGATGACAAACTCCCTCGCCTTCAGTCTCTTCTGGACGCCCCTCCACCTCGACAGCACCTTCAGCAGCAAGCACGGCCAGAAGATGAAGTGGATAAGGCGGGGGGGGGAGACAAGTTGGGCTGGCGAGAGCGGCGAATCCGTTCAAGACTTCCCGCAACAGCAACATCCTCAGGCGTCTTGCAACTCGCCCTAGCAAATCTACTCGAAGTTGTTTGGTACGAGGGCTGGGCGAGCCTGCTCGATGAAATTGATGAGTCCATCAAAGTCCAGGTTGGTAGAAGTCAATACCCGCACCCCACCCCCCGGGCGTCCGTTATTATCAGTGCTCCGGGTCGTCTCTAACCCATAACTGGACTACATGTAGGTTGTGGATATCTTGAATGCGGATTCTACCGAGCAGCTGCTGTTCCAGGGTTCGTTGGCCCAGTCAAAGGTGTATTTCCAGCTTCTGCAGCTTCTGCGCATCATCCCCCTATGGATCAGAGAGACGAGGGATGATCTGGAGAGACTGAAAGCACGCTCCGTCTTCCGAACCGCATTGCCCTATATCCCTGGTCGGAAGTGGAACCAGGTATTCTAACACTTCACCGGCCTTGAACAGCAGCTCTTGAGCCGCATCGAGACGAAGACGGATGAGATCAGGGGCTTGCGAGATGGTGTAGGTGATTAAGGCACGCAAGCAACAATCCGTCTGGCCAAACTGCTGATCATTACAAATAGCTCATCAATACCAACGCCCTCTTAGAGGCTTCCAGGTCCACCTCGATGAATCGCTACGTCATCATCTTTACTCTCCTCACGATATTCTACCTGCCGCTCGGTTTTGTCACTGAGTTCTGCTTCCGGCTCCCTTCCGGCAACAACCTTGTAAGCACGCTAGTTAACCACCTTTTCCTCCCACCAGGCCGTCTTCAGCATGGACCTTCTCCACGAACAAGAGCTGACTGTCATGAAGAGTCAATACGCCGCAACAATGGTTGCCGTTGCCGTAGTAACCTACGCGGTAGCTATCGGCCTGGTCGTGTTTGTGGATTGTCAGAAGATCAAGCCGCTCCTCACTGGCGTCCACGCCCATTTTGCCTTCCTTGCACGCAAGCTGCGGCAAACCTTTGAAAAGAATGATCCCGCGGCCTGATTTGTCGCCGCGCACACCGACGCCGAGAAGACAAGCTGGGCCGCGGCGGCGCTGCTTAGACGAAGAAAGACGGAAGAAGGAGAGGCGTAAAAGAGCCCGAGGACCCTGAAGTTAGGCTACATGTTTGTACCCCTGGAGAGCCGTCATCGCAACTTCGTTCACCCATAACTCGCGCCGTGGAAAAAGTCCAGGCAGGCTCGCAAAGTCGGTTTGCCGCCGAGATCGAAGGCAGTTCCCAGCCATACCCGATCCTCCAAAATGAGCCCGTGCGCCGGCGGCCTGGAATCTGAGCAGGGGTGGTTTTGAAGCCGGCACTCGCCACCGACAGCCCGGACGTATGAGTTGAGCTTTAGAAGGAAGTTTAACCCGTGACTACTTGACGGGCATCACGGACTGCGAGTACATGGGCGCATGACGTCGTGGTTAAGACGAAATCGTCATAAGAATCTGCCTCGAGAGAACCCATAAATCCTCAGCAAAGGAGGTACTACTACGAGCAGCCGCATCTACATACATAAGAGTGTGGGAAATGAAGGACTCGGGTAATCGAACTCCTCTTCTAGACCAAAATCATATGACCATCATGATGGCTGCCTAAGAGGACGAGATTCGACAGGATATCAGCACAACAACTCGTCCCACCCGAAACTCTCCGGAGGGAAGCCCCTCAGCACTAACCAAGGAGTTGTTTTCGGATTACGGCGCAGGTGAGGTGGGCCCAGGTCAGGCCGCTGTTCCTGTTCTGTTAGGTCTGGCTTACTTCGTGGGATGAGGCTGTCCTTGACCCAGTGGTCGGGCTGAGTTGGATGTTTCGGCCAAGGGATACGGAGGTCGACAATTCAAGCCGCAGCATTAGGCCCATGGTTGATGGTTGAGTTTTGCTCTATTTTTGTACATGGGACAGGAATAGTTCGGATAAGTCTAGGATGCAACCACACCCCTCGTAGTAGTCCACCCAAATTTATACAGGAAAGTTGTACAGAACCTCCCTCAATCCATAGCCATAACATCAGGGAGAAAGATGAAGGATCCATGTCTTTTTTCTTTCTCTCTTTTCTTTCTCCCTTTTTACCTTGTTCCCGCTCATCAACCTCGGCACGATGCACCAGTCGGCTTCCCCCTTTGCGACTGTTGCGACGGCGACGGTCGCGTTTCTGGCGGCCCTTGCGACTGCTGCGACTGGTACAGTGCCGGCCCAGGAATCGGCCATTCGTTGTCACGGCTGTCGTAGACCGAGAAGCCGAACAGCTGGGAATCGCTCCTGCTGTACAGCTCCGCCGCCGGCACCCCCGAGCCAGACAGGTCATCCGTGCCGTCCCCCGTGACCTCAATGTTACCGCACTGCATGTAGAACTCGGGCTCGTTGATGTGGGCGCGGTGGAGCGCGATGATCTCATTGCGGAGCACGTACTTGCCCGGCGCGATCGAACGGGGGATGGTGGCCGAGTTGACGCCTCCGTTCTCGCGCAGTACGTCGGTCGCCCAGACGCCCTGGGTGTTGGCCGGGCCCGAGACGAGGCCCGATTCGGCGATCTTGGTCCAGCGCAGCGAGGACTTGTCGACGCTGGCGCAGTCGCCATTGCAGGGCGCAATGTAGGTGAGGACCGGTCCGCGGTGCGATTCTGCCCACCCGTTGGGGTTGATGACCTTGTCGTCCGAGGTCCAGAAGAACGAGGCGGTGCCGCCGGCTGCGATGGTGCCGTAGTTGCGGGAGGGCTCCGAATCGCGCCGGCAGATGAAGTCGGGGGACCTCATGTCCAGCTCAGGGCCCTCGTCCGGGGTGCTGAAGCTCCACCCGATGGCGTTGGGGTCGGGGGTAGGGTTCCAACGGCTGAAGCCCTCGTAGTCGACGCCGTCCAGAGTGAAGGTATTGATGTAGCCATGGGCAGCTACCCGAGTTACGAGAAGGGTCACCACCAGAGAAAGTTGGCGGGTCATGGTGGGCGGGATTGGAAGAAGATGCAAAAACGGAAGTGCAGAGGGAATCCTCCAAGTGGCTTGTGTAGGGAATGTAGAGCCGAGTTGGGTACCGAAGACATTGAGGACCTGATGATTCGCCGCGTCTACTTATAATTACTTCTCTGGAACCAGAACTGGGCCTGAGTAGGCCAACGGTGGGGGGTACGGAGTGCCCAAGATCTAAACAACCTTGCTTGGCGACAACGACATGTTAGCGACCATTGTCGGAACTTTCCAAGGCAGCAACTTGTCGAGCTCACAGACGGGGCCGTAGGATGCGGCGAGGTAATGGCCTCGATGGTCTTCTGGTCCTCGAGGTGACCAGACGCAGGGATTGTGGAGCCACCAACGCCTTGGCTTGTTTGATGTTCGATCATCGTTGAATAACCAGGGGCCGAAAAGATGCCGACCAGCCCTTGGGAGGATCTTTTGTTTCAAGTTTCAACTGCGGGTCGACCGGTACGTGACCTCTTCCTCCCACCACGGCGGAAGTTCCTTCATCTTAGCAGCGTAGACCTTGCGCATGGGACTAACTCGACTTCCTCGGTTTGCCTTCGAGTCGCTTGCATCTGCGTAGCTTTTCTCTTTGCGGTTCCTCTACTCGGGTATCTTTGCAGGCTACAGTTACCCGAACGGGTTCACATGAGACGCTTTCCTAGTCAACAATGGCCGTTTACTTGGCATCGCCCTGACCGATCAGGATGTTGTTGAACGAGAGGTGGTCGTACCAGGGAACAGTGTGTTCGGGCGGATTCTGTCGTTCGGGGAAGATCTTGGGCTAGAAGGGCGGTCGACTTCGTGGCAACCTGCAGGATTATCACGGCGTTTGCTCGATCCTCTTCGTCCTTTATTCTGTTTCTGGATATCCATTTTGCTACCCTCAGACAGTGTCAAACTGAAGACAATAATAAAATTCCTCCTCACCTTCTTTAAAACCCCCCAGTTCCCCTAACCCTCTCAACAGCCGCCTTAACCCCCTTAAACAAACCCCCAACCCTTCCCGCCTCGACCCCAATCGCCCCCTCCACTTCTCTACCTTCCTCATCCCTCCACACCCCATCTTCCGCCCCAACCCGCCCAAACAGTTCAGTATTCTGATTTTTCTTCAGCGCCACCAGCCACTCAGTACAGAGCGCCTCGCTATCGATCATGACATTGACCTCTTGACTGTGGAACCAGCTCTGCGTGTCCTGGTTCCCGTTGCCCTGGATCGCCACGGCGCCATCCACCATCATGAGCTTGACATGGCTGCTGCGCTGGCGGCGCGACTGCGCTATGGGCCGCGTCTGGTCCTTGGCCACGTACCAGTGGTAGTGCAGCCGGGCGCGGGCGGCCGGGGATAGCGAGGTGTGGAGATGGGAGGAGACTTTTTCGTTGTGGCCGCCTTGGCGGGGGAGGAGTTCGCCCTGTTTTTTTTTGTAAGTGAAAAGATATGGTTAATGATTGACGACCTGGGAGGCGCCTAGTCGGGGGAAAGAAGGGGGAAGGGGGGCTGGCTTACGGCGTCGTTGTAGCTAAGGCAGACATAACAGTGCACGTTGACGCCGCGTTCGCAGGCGGCGATGATGGCGGGGATTAGGGGGCTGGCGTTGAGCGTAGGGGAGATGATGTAGACGGTGTGTTTGGCGTTTTGGAGGGCGGAGAGCCAGGCGGCGTTTTGAGGGGTCGAGACGGAGCTGTGCGTGGGTGGGCCGTAGGGGGCACGGTTGACCAGCGCCATGGGATAGGGAGTGCGGGACTGATGAGGGATGTGCGGGGTCATTAGCTCGCCCGGAGGGCATTCTGGCGCGTTCAAGTCGCCGGGAAGGCCTTCGTTGACTGTATGGTTGAGCAATCGGGTCACGGCTTGCAAGTGCGTCTCGCCCGATTTGGGAGCGAGGGATACTCGAGAACGGGAAACTTCGCCGGCAATATCGTCGTCGTAGTGAGGGTCGTCGGCTGTATGTTCTGGAGGAAACGGCACAGATGTCTCGCAATAACCGTGGGTGGACGGATCGGATGGCAGGCCCCTTGCATCTACTCCATTCGCTGTCTGTGTCGAGACTCTGGTGGCGTAGCGCTGGTCTTTCTCCGCTGCAGCTTCACCTGGGTCCGATGCGTTGACGGCGCCGTTACTTGCGCCGTCAGGTGCTTTATGTTTTTTCCGGGCAGCCGGATAGTCATAACTTGGCAAGGGCGGGTTCATCCGCTTGTGCCAGGAAATCAGAGCCATATCGTACAACGAGTCGACAATGGGACCTTCCAAGTGAATAAGCATCTCCAGGTTGTCGTTGTCCTGGATGTTGTTGCTCTGTAAGACGGCAATCTTCCGGTCTACCACCATGTACTTGGCATGGAAAGTTCCCATTAGCGGCGTATGAAAGTTCATGACCTCCATGTCGATATTCGGGATCTCGCTGGGGTGAGGCAGGTTGACCTTGTCTCCGGTAAACTCCTTTTCTGAGACAAGGTAGTGTGGCTCGTAGAGTTGCCTCGGGCTCCCTCGGTCGTAGAGGATCTTCAATACGATCCTCACGCCCCTCGCTCCGGCTCGACGGTCCAGCTCCCTGATGCCATTGGTGATGTACTTGGAAGCGACGCTATTTTGCCAGTAATTCGTCGCCAGGAAAACCTCTCGCTCGGCGCGAACGATGACGTTGGACATGTGGCGAACAATGTCGGGCATCCTTCTCGAAGTCAGTGACGAACTCAAAGAGGGGCGGGGACATACACAGAGATGATGGTGAGCGGTACCGTCCCATAACTCGCCATCAGAGAAGGACTGACCATGGCCCGAAGAGGGTCCTCCTCTAGAGCGCATAAGGCGTCATGGTATATCTGCGGTCGTATCAGCGAGGTGCTGAGGACGTGACTTGCTCAGACCCTAGCCTACCTTCAGGAACAGCGCGCTCGGCCGCGTCGGACCCCATTTTCCACACCGCGCTGCTTTTTCTAGCTCATCTTCGCCGAACGACTCTGGTTCCGTAACTTTACTGCCGTTCAAGTAGTCATCCAGATTTTTTTGAGCGTCCTTGTCAGCCACTTTCAGCGCCCGTTCACCATAGAGCCTATCCCATGCATCGCCAGGAGCAAGATTCGGATCACGAGCGAGAAGTGACGAAACGCTCTCATTCGATGCACACAACCGAATGATACGGTCGCTGATGAGGTTACTCCGTTCGTGGTGCTTCGTCATTCCCATCGGTAACGATGGTAATTCTCTTGGGGACTTTACGTTGAAGCGCAAGTTGATGGACTACCAGGTAACTAAGCATACAAATCAGCATAATCAAAAAAGAGCAACAGGAATGCTATGAGCGGATAGGGATTGACATCAGAACGCTCTGACACGAAACGGCTTGGGTGCGCCGGTTAGGGGGATACCTCCAGTAGGGGGATACCTCAAATCGGGGGATTGTCCAGTATCACTTACAAGCTCTTTCAAGCTGTAGAAATGGATCGACTATGAAGGAAAAATGAAGTAAACCGCAGATCTTATCGACAAGGGCAATTATAATGATATTGTATTCTACTTGAAGCCAATGCTTGTGCCGTGGTATCATCCATACCTACCATAAGGCGTCCCCTTTTCGGCTTGTTCGGAGGTGACTGCACTCTTGATGAAGCTGTTTGCAGTTGAGCGCGATGAGGCATGACGTCAACAGGTCCGGGGCAGGCTCGGTAAGTGCTTGGCTGATGGCAGCCTAGCGCGGAGATAACGACCACGCTAGGTAGTGCTGGGGCATGTCATCTCGAGTGGTCCGGGGCGTGGGAACAACAGCACAGGTATCGTACCTCCGGTAGTAAATTGAGTGATACAATCAATTGTCTTCCAACTCGATGGAGTTTCATGAGTTCATTGAGTCTCTGTTGTCGACAACTGGCTGCGAGCACTCCAACCACCCGTGCGACTTCCTTGTCAAGTTGATGTGAGTCTGTCCAGTCTACGACGGCGATTTGTAGCGGGACCCACCGAGGTACAGATAGGGTCTGGGTTCCGGCAGGTACGAAGTCGGCAGCGAGGTTATGAACTTAAACCACTTCTGGTCTTCGACTTAGCACCTGAGCCGCAGAGCTGCAATTGGTCTTTATAGTAGCGTTTTCAGGCTAAGTTTATATAGCTTATTTGATTGCCAATTGCAGCAACCTAGTAGCTATACTTACTTAGCATACTAAAATAACGTACATGATAAGCGAACGTCCCAGACATGCGAACGTCCCACAAATCCACTCTTTCATACCTTTCGTCTTTTTATCGACTTTCCCTCACAACGCAATATGCCCCTAAAAAACGACGAAGCCCAAGTGCAATTAGCCCTTCAAGCAATCCAGAATGATCCGAAACTGAGCCTAAGAGCTGCAGCTAGGATCTATTCTGTGGACCACGAGAAGCTCAGTCGCCGAAGACGCGGTAAACATTCACGACGCGACATTCCGGCTAACTCGCGCAAATTGACCGACCTGGAGGAATCGGTTATTGTTCAGTATGTCCTCGATCTGGATTCCAAAGGATTCCCTCCCCGCTTGTCTAGTGTGGAAGATATGGCCAATCGACTACTTGCCGATCGCGACGCGGGACGCGTCGGGGCGCGTTGGGCGCACAACTTCGTTAAACGACAACCAGACATCACGACCCGATTCAGTCGGAGATACGACTACCAGAGGGCCCTGTGCGAAGATCCAGATATCATTCGTGGCTGGTTCGCGCTTGTACAGAACACAATCGC